TTCAAAAGCTGAATCAAGCCAAAACGCCGAAGGTGTCGGCAAATGTAGCAGCAACGAGCTCGCTACTAAGCCAGGAAAATTAATCTCGACATCTCGTCAGGTTGACATTGTAAACATGCCCAAGCCCAAACGAGGAAATGTCAGAGTGACGAAGAAACAACTTCGCCAGACCAAACTCGCCACCGGACCAGCTCGTATTGCTGTCCACAAGTATCCAAGTGGACTTACAGTAAATTTGGAGCAGCTCCTGACTTGGGCACGGAACACACCCAACTTAAAGTTTGTTTTGGAGATGCTGGACAAGTATCCTGTTCAGTTCGAAGACGCATATCTCAGGGGGCGAAGTATCGACTGTCAGTGGGAAGCTATGAAATCAACTGATTACATGCACACCTTCGTGATTCCGGTGGATCTTACACGGTCCTTACAAGCAGCGATCAAAACGGCCAGGAAGGAACAGCACGCGCCCGATGAGCTGGATGCACGTCTGAAGAAGCAAGGGGTCGTCCTTGATCTTGTTGCCACTGTAGATCCGAAGCTGTGGAAGATGAGAAGGTAAGGTTGCATTATCTATATGGTTGCTTTATTAAGGTTGTTATTTGTGGTTGCTTTAACTAAATTAAGTGTTCTGCAGTAAATTTGTAGGTGCACTCACTGGATTTCACGCTGTAAAGACCAAGATTAATATGTGGTTTGAAGATCGCAAGTGGCTCGAGCAAGATTGGCGGAAGATCAGCTCGGATGTGCGCCTGTTTGCCGAGGAGACAAACACTTTGGGTTTGTCAGCAGATGCGATTTGTGATCGCCACAGAGTTCTGGCGAACGAAGTTATAGCCAAGTTTACATCCAGCAGATTACGGACGGATTTCGCGACGCTGTCTGGAAAGGGGACTATCAGTTTCGAAAACATTGTGGGTGGACTTTGTCGCGGCTGGCTAAATGATAGCCACGTCGACATCTGCTTGGAAATACTTGGTGAATCGGTGGGGAATTGCTACGTGCTGTCGTCGTTGATGTGGTCTGTTGGGTGGCCCTC